TCTAGATTGGCAGGATGCTTTTCCGCAAAAGCACTTTTTGTGGAAAAGCGTCCGTGGCCAAACTGGACGCGCTTTTCCACAAAAAAGCCCCGATTGCCATTTTTGCAATCGGGGCTTTTTTGCAGAAAACAGTACTATGCTGTCTACACTGGCCCTTTTGCGCAAAAGTCTTTCGGAAAAAGACTTTTGCCCGAACGGGAGCAGCATAGTATTTCCGGAAAAGCACTGATGATTTTACATGAGATCGTCAGTGCTTTTCCGGAAATTCAAGCGGCCAGTGTAGACAGCTGGCAACAGATGATTTTGCGGAAAAACTTGCCAGTCTAGACACAGCCGGGGAGACAGAGGGGCTGCGTCTACACTGCAGGCTTCTCTTTCTACAAGGAAAAAGCTTTTTTCCAAAAGGGCTCTTTCGGAAAAAGGCGTATGTGGATGGGGAAGAGGGAGTTTTTCCGAAAGAAGAGGAAAGAGGAAAAAGCACAGGGGCCCTAGTGGCCATTCCGTCCATAGTAGTCACAGCTTACATGTGATATAGCATTCATTCATTGTGGATCCTCTCTTTTGAAAAAGCATATCGATTTTTCGATGCGCTTTTGCCATGTGGACGCTTTCTTTCGGAAGGAGTTTTTTTGCCACACGTTTTTGTGCAAGAACAGCTGTTCTTGCACAAAAAGCCTCCAGAGTAGACGTAGCCAGGGCGTGCCAACCCAGATGTTATTTTTCTGCCAATAGATACCCATGTCCCTGAATGCCATTTGCTATGCTGGGCAAAGCAGGGGAGGTCATGTCTTTCATTGGACCAACAACAGTGGGGAAGAGAGGCAAGCTACCAAGTTTACGCAAAGTTTACGTTCGTGTCTCTTCCCCCAGCACACGTCAGTCCAATGAAAGATCTGACCTCGTCCGGCTTGTGTGTCTGATAGCCTGGGCCTGACAGGGCTACAGCTATGCTGCATGTTAGCGCTGCTGCACGAAGCACTGGATAACTGCCTCCAAGGTTCCCTTTCATCTTTCCCATCCACATGTGGATTTTCTCCATGTGCGGAATAAATGCGTGTGCACCGAGGCATGTGTGACTGTGCACCACCAGTGGAAACACAACACCTAGCTGTGGGCGCTCTGCTAATCAGCTGGGCAGCGTTTGTGTCTCTCCTGTGTGGCCACGCAAGCGCACAGCTTACCGTGGACGCAGGCGGCATGCGCACCGGGTGCTTTGCTCCCCCGCGCGCTCACGTCTACCCGAAAGCACTCTGCCTCCAAAGCTTTGTAGTAGAGACACAGCCGGTGTGTGACGGTGTTTCCAAACGCACAGCGGATGCATCTGGGGCAAAGTGATCCAAGGGGATGGAGAGATCTAGGAGGCAGCAATGACCCAATGGGATGTAGGGTAGGGAGCAAGCACTAAATTAGTCCTGAGTTTGCAATGTGATAAGGCTGAGACCAATCCATGTCACCAAATTACATTGCCTGACTGTTGGGTGGCTGATCTTTCCCCTTCCCTGGCCTGCTTGCCTGTGCCCTGGGTGTGCCTGGAACCAGCTGTTAAGAGCAGCACTACAGGCGGCCGCTCCTGGGTCTGGGCTTGCCTTTCCCACTTATGGAGTCCCGTGGCCAGCTCTCCGCTACACTGGAAGGCCGTCACAGATCTGCAGCTCCGGGAACCCGGGGGCGGAGGCACTAAGGAATGATTGGGTGTAAAATGGGAAGTTTGGCTTCACCGGGACTGCCTTTTATGATATGAAGCAGCGCCCTTTGCTGCTCCGTGGCACAGGGCAGACACAGCTCCCCTTCCGCCCTGCTCTCTAGCCACGGATCAGCTCTTCCCCGCTTTAAGAACGGCCAGCCTGGGTCAGACCAAAGCCGTCTGGCTCTGACAGCGGCCGGTGCCAAGTGTTTGAGAGGGAGTGAACTGAGCAGGGCAGTGATCAAACGATCCGCCCACTGTCTGGCTTTTGAAGACGTCACTGTCTGTTTCTCCTTGGCGGAGTAGGGGACGTGGGAAGAATGGCAGGAGGGGACGAGGGAGCTCCATGAAGCATTGACCTTACCAGGGGAGGAGTCGTCACTTTATTGGGTGATCTGTCCTCTGTCGTCCTGTCTCATCTTCTAGCAGGCAAAGGTTTAGGGTCACCCAGAGCAGGGTGTAGCCCTTCCCTAGGGTCTAGTCCTGCTCACAGCCTCCCCTTGCTCTAGCTAAACTCCGCTCCGCAGGGAGGCCTAGGAATAATCTAGCTGTCCTAGCACCTCCTTCTCCTCCCAGCTCTAACCACAGATCTCTCTATGGGCAGGTAGTGAAGGATGTGGTTCCGCCCTGTTTCAGCATTCCCCATGGGGCACTGCAGCCCCAGGTACAAAGGGAGGATTCGTGTCCCTGCTGGAGCCAGCCCCACTACCTCAAGCGGGAGACAGAGGCTTCAGGCACAGAACTGCTGTTGTCCAGCTTCTGAGAATGGGCCATACAACCCGGGGGCTGGAACTA